TAGGGAGTTTGCCGTTTTCTTTGTGCACGTTAATTAAAAGAGCAGCTGATTTCCCCTGCTGTTCTGTACCATAGCTTCGCCGCGCCCACCACCCCGTGGCAGCGGCATCGCATTCTCATAAACCCTGTTGAAAACAGCGTTTATTAATTTAAAAGCAATGTACAGTTATTAATTACCATTGTTTGAGTGGAATTTTGAGAGAATACGTCGCTACAGAAGGCGATCGCATAGGGGTTTGTTACTTATGAAGAGATTAAGACACGGCACCGTAGGGTACGAAGAGCTTCTAGACGATCGTAGGTTAATTGGACTCTGGCAGTGTAAAGACAGGTGATTGGTGTAGTAAACATCCTTCTGGTTGTTTGGTGCTTATGTCCCTTGCTTGCAGTGAATCTGCTTGCAGTTCTTGTAGAAGCCGATGCAAGAAGCAAACAGGCACCACTAAATGCATAAGAAACCACAAGACCTCCGTGATGTGCTCTTCAACTGTGATGTGCATGAGACGTATAAACGGAGTGTACGACAATTTCACACAGTGAACGTCAAGAAAACAATCGCAAGAGAATACTGGACATATTTTCGTCTGTGCTGCTGGCTGTGTCAGTCTGTTTTGTTTGCTCCTGCATACGCACACATGCTAACGGCAATCGAGAGAAAAAGAAGAAACAGATATCTACAAGACTGTGCAGAAAGACATTATTACATCACAGGGAATCGGACGAGTAAAATGAAGAGTGCTGAGAGGGGTTTGGCGTCTCGCTGTCACTGCGTTGTAACGATCTACAAACGACAAGCGGAAAAACTACCACTATCGAAGCGATGCATGGAGAGAGGTGCAGCCCGTGCCTGCAGCTGGAGTATTTATTCTCTTCTTCGTCTTCAGCACTTTATCAATGCGTTCAAAACATCCTGCTGGCTGGTGTGTGCGTTACTACACCGCGCTACTACAGAAATTCCAGGCAGACAACCTGCAAGAGGTCCCTTCCCTCGCAGGTACAATGCATCAATTATATTTATTTCCAGATTAACCTATATTAATAATCTCCTCCAACAGTTTGCATCATACGGAGACCGAGGTCGTGCCCTTACCAGTGCGCCTCCACATGCAACCCCAGACAGAGACCGCCGGTGGTCTCTGGTCTGGGAGTGCACGTGCCTTCACGAGCAGAGATAAAAACCAGGAACCACACACGTTTATGTGGAAATTACGTTTTACATTTTTAATATGATTTATATTTAGTTTCAGGTTTTATTCGCACGTCCGATTCCGTTGTTCTGCTGTGTTTCATACGCCGAAAACGATACTCGAGGACCAGCCGACGAGCTCCAACTTCTCTGACTTCCTTCCTGCACCCTTCAATTTGGATACGCTTGCTTTTATCCCCTTTGAAATTTTTAAAAAGGGTTTTTGTCAGATTTTGTCTCAATGGTTTCCTTCTACAAGACGGCAGCGGCCGTGTGCCTCGTCGTAGTCTGCGGGCCCCAATCCGGGGTGGCAGGCGGTAAAACCTACAAGTTTACCGCAGAAAGCGTAAAAGAAGGTGAAGATGCTTCTTCCCTTCACGCTCATTCCTCTCGCTCTCTTCCCTTGCTCGTTCCCTGCCAAGATGCCAACTACACAGCTGCTAGAGACTGCAGGCCTCTTGCCTGCAGATTATTATCATCCTGGCCCTTTGTTCCTCTATGTTATTTGCAGACGCCTACCTGGCGGCAAAGTTGGCCCGCAATGGAAAGCTCCCCGTTCACATCACCGAAGTCTCAGAGGACGAAAACACTGTCACGACCTTGACGAATACAGTAAACGACGCAACAGCAGGAGATGACGCCACGTGCAAGAAGTTGGTCGAATCCCATCTTGTGAGCACAGCAACCACAAGTGCAAGGGCTGTGTGTTCCTGCTAACTCCACTCGTGCCGCATTTTGAAACCCGACGGAAAGTGGGCAGCCATTGAGCTGATAATCTGGGGCGAACTGAATATAGGCACTCTGGCTTCTCATTCGCTGTGTTGTGTGGGCGTACAGAAGGAAACGTTCCATCGCGCATTTGAGTACAAAGCCGACACCACTCCTAATTACCACGAATTGCTGCAGGCAGCCCTTAACGACGGACTGGCAGTCTTCGAGAAAGTAAATGCCATATTGATCTTCTCTAGAAGCAACTTTCATCTGCTTTCGTTGCTTAGCAAACCGACAGCAATTATACCTAGCATACCTATCGAGAGAGTATCGCCACTTTCCCCTCATGCAGCTCCTAATCATTACATCTGTATTGTGTTGTGCTGACTGCTGCAATTTCTCCAAAAGGAAAAAATACCCTGAGAACGAAGTAGCCTGGCAAACGATCTGGGATAGCGATGCGGGTGCCAGTCTGGCACATCTTCTCGGAGCTAACAGCACTAAAATCGGCTGCGTCATTGGCAAGTGTGGTGAAGCAACACCTGCAGCTTATACGATGAGTGGTGATTCTGAAGCTCAAAAAGAAAATGCCTTCCTTTTCTGTCAATTAAGTCCTCCAGCTGAGAAATCGGCTCCTTTTAGGTAAGCTTTCGGTTTCGGAGCGCACCTTGCAGGAGGGGCCTATGAATGGACTTAGGCCCAAGCATCCACCCCAACTCTGGTTCTGCTTTTTAGGTCTGAGTTTCTGTCTGTTTTTCCTGCTTTTCAGCGAGGAATATTTCAACGGATTGATAGAACGAACAACTCTACTAAAGGATATGACGGCAGACGACCTGAAGCTGTCTGTTGGAAATGGCGCTGAAGCAGCTGCCGTCCCTACCATTCTAATTGCCGGTTTGGTTGCTATGCTGGCCGTCGTCTCTTCCTAGAGAAGCAACCTTCCGGTAGCTCGCTAGCTATCCACCCCGCTTCCTCTCCAGGTAGTCTACAGAGCACTTTGTCAACCAAGCTACGCTTGTTGGCTTCAGGCTAAGAAGCTTCATTTGCTGCATGAACAGGCAAGCGTTAACTGCTGTTCTAAGCAACAGGCGAAGCATGGAGGCCAGATGCACCG